TCCCTGCGCTTGTGCTTTTCGCGGGTTTGGCCGCGGTTTTGCCGCTTTAGGAAGGGTCCCCCGTCGCGATCCTCCGCTCTGGAGCCCTTCGCCTCGGTGGCTTCATAGTAATAGTAAAATAAAATCATTAAAATTAAATTTTGATTAATAATTTAAATATCAAATTGTAATATTAAAATAGTTATGTAAACTCACTGGCAGAGTGTTAGCAGTTGTGACAGCATCTTATGGATGATAATAATTCATAGATATTTAATTAGTAATAGTAAAATAAAATCATTAAAATTAAATTTTGATTAATAATTTAAATATCAAATTGTAATATTAAAATAGTTATGTAAACTCACTGGCAGAGTGTTAGCAGTTGTGACAGCATCTTATGGATGATAATAATTCATAGATATTTAATTACTGTAATACAACACTTATGTATACACGTAAAAACAAAAATTTGAAGGATAACTGCTGTTTTATCCACTGAAACTGCTTGATTCTTCTTTTCTGCCAAGTGTGTAATACTAAACTTTTATATATTTAAGAAGCTAGTAGATTTTTAAAAGGGACTTCAGCTTTAAGTTTAATTTGTGTTGCTACACACAGTATTGAGGAGTACCATGCCCGTGTTTCAAACTTCTGTTTTTGTACGGAGTGGATCAGCCATGTGAATGGCTAGGAGAAGAGCTGTATCTGTAGTAGCCATGAAGGGCTCCATGTTCTCAGGAACAAAGAACACCAGAGACACCTTTAGGCTACTCATCTGTTAATGCTAGCAGTGGAGCCGCACTAGCAGTGCCTAAGGTAGTTGCCTGGCAGGTGCCCAGGTCACCAGCCACTTGAGCACTGACATAGCTATGCCAATACCAAGTCATTATCAAGCTGGCTGCTGCAATCGTAGCACAGCATGCAAGCTGCAGTGATGAGACGGTAGCTATAACCATAGAGACATGTATCCGGGAGATATGTGTAGAAGACATGTATAGGAGGCTTGCATCAAGACTGTTTCCTGCTATGGCAGGCAGCTGTGTTATAAAGCTTTATCTCATAAAGTCGTATTTTACAAGAAGGCACCCTCTCTGGTCATTTTGGAAAGCTAGAATTTTTCTGCTCTGATGGTTGGAATCTGTTCTGGTATTCGGCTCATTTCTTTCATTGTTTGTTTATATCCATTTGTCTGTGTGCCAGTGCTATAGTTTAGTCTCAGTTGTCATCTGAATACTCTAGGCTAGGTGTATGTCAGAAGGCAAGGAAAATGATTGTATATGTTCCTAATCCTTCCCTGCCCCTCCCCCCCCCCCCCCCCCCCCC